ATCCCACACTTGGTATTGCCTTAAAAGGCCTGATCCTATCCCTGATTTGAGAGCACAGGGTGATGTTCAGGTGAGGTCCCAGCACTTAGGAACCATCACATGGTCCAGTAGGAATAATTTCCAACCATAAACAAGTTCACTTTTGCACATGACTCAAATTTGTTTTCCTGAAAACAATTGCATCTTCAAAAAGTATTATAGTGATCGCAACCAAAGGAAAAACAAAGGGAAGCAAAAGGAAAGTGGAACGTAAACAACTCCACAGATGCAACTATCCTTCATTTGAGGGGACAGTCCCTTTTTCAGAACAAAATTCCTCTGTCCCTCTTTTGTCCTCAGCTCCCACTCTTTCAGATGTAATGTACAAAACTATTAAAATATACTTTTTAATATTAAAGCAGTGGCAGAACGCACACCTGTGACAGGGCCCTGGAGTTCTACCACTGTAGGGGGGGGGGGTCCAAGAGCCCGGATTATGTCTCCCCAGTGCCATGGTGTTGCTAGCTGCAAGGCTCTGAGATAAGAGTTTCTCTTTCTCTCACAAGCAGCGCTGACCGTTCCCCCCCCTCCCTTCCCCCCCACACAGAGTTGTCTCTACTCCTCCTCCTCTCCTCCTGTGTCTGCCCCGCCCAATTCCCCGCCCACACTCCCTGCCAGTGTCTCAGAGGAGATGTGTGGGTGGGGGCAGACACAGGAGAGGGTGGGAGGAGGAGCAGCAGAGCCAAAGAAGCTTGAAGCCCAACAGCAGGAAGAGTACATGTGCCGATAGCTAATCCATCCATCCTGTGAGTGAAGTCTCCCCCTTCCCTCCTCTCTCTTGCCTGCCAGTACAATAATGTAAAAGGGACTCTAATGTACAGTAAGGGGTGCTCTGTGGACTCCGATGTAAGGGGAGCTTTGGTGAGCAGAGACTACCTTACATCAGAGTTTCCCTTTACATTCCAGAGTCTACAGAGAACTCCCTTACAGTCCCTGATTGTGGGCGGGCGCTCTGCAGACTCTGATGGAAGGGGGGGCGCTCTGCAGACTCTGATAGAAGGGGGGCTTTAGGAACATTGATTAAAGGGGAACGCTGGGAACTTTGATGCAAGCGGGGGCTCTGGTTACCAGAGACCCCCCTTACACCAGAGTCTTCAGTGTTCCTCCTATACATCAGAGTCTGCAGAGTCGCCCCTTACAGTGTAGGGGCCTCAAATGTAAAAGGGAAAACGCTGCGTATTCAGATGTAAAGGGGAAATGCTGCGGATTCAGAGATATATATACAGTTGTATTCAAAATAATAGCAGTCAGACATCACTAACCTGATCAATCACTGTTTTTGGTAGAAATGATATTTCTACATGGCAAATAATTTACTAGCAGGTGTAGTAGAGTAATAGAAATCCAACAGACCCAACAGTCATGACATGCATGCTGCTGATTCTGTGTAATTGAATCACTAATTGAAAGGGGCATGTTCAAAATAATAGCAGTGTGGAGTTCTATTAGTGAGGTCATTCATTCTTTGAAAAACAGGTGGCAATTATTGCCCTTATTTAAGGAAGGAAGGCAGGAAATGTTGTACATGCTGGTTACAGTGCATTTCTCTCTGAAATTCTGAGGAAAATGGGTCGTTCCAGACATTGTTCAGAAGAACAGCGTACCTTGATTAAAAAGTTGATTGGAGAGGGGAAAACATATAAAGAAGTGCAGAAAATGATCGGCTGCTCAGCTAAAATGATTGCAAATGCTTTAAAATGGCAACCAAAACCTGAAAGACGTGGAAGAAAGCATAAAACTACCATTTGAATGGATAGAAGAATAGCCAAAATGGCAAGGACTCAGCCAACAATCAGCTCCAAGAAGATCAAAGAAGGTCTAAAGTTCCCTGTGAGTACTGTTACAATTAGAAGACGCCTATGTGAAGCCAAGCTATCTGCAAGAAGCCCCTGCAAAGTCCCACTGTTGGAAAAAAAAGACGTGCTGAAGAGGTTACAATTTGCCAAAGAACACATTGACTGGCCTAAAAGAGAAATGACGCAACACTTTGTGGACTGATGAAAGTAAGATTGTTCTTTTTGGGTCTAGTGGGCGGAGACAGTTTGTCAGACGACCCCCAAACACTGAATTCAAGCCACAGTACACTGTGAAGACAGTGAAGCATGGTTGCGCAAGCATCATGATATGGGGATGTGTCTCATACTACGGTGTTGGGCCTATTTATCGCATACCAGGGATCATGGATCAGTTTGAATACATCAGAATACTTGAAGAGGTCATGCTGCCTTATGCTGAAGAGGAAATGCCCTTGAAATGGGTGTTCCAACAAGACAACGACCCCAAACACACCAGTAAACGTGCACACTCTTGGTTCCAGACCAACAAGATTGACGTTATGGAGTGGCCAGCCCAATCCCTGGATCCTAATCCAATAGAAAACTTGTGGGGTGACATCAAAAATGCAGTTTCTGAGGCAAAACCAAGAAATAGAGAAGAACTGTGGAATGTAGTCGAATCATCCTTGGCTGGAATACCTGATCACAGGTGCCAGAAGTTGGGTGACTCCATGCAACACAGATGTACAACAGTTCTCAGAAACAGTGCGACTACAACCAAATATTCATGAAGTCATGCAAAGGAAAGCAAAATCTTCAAACATTTTTCAGTTTATATAGTGAATGTTTGAGTTTGTAAAGAAGAATACAAACACTGCTATTGTTTTAAACAGTCTAAATTCACTTTTTTTTTTTTTTTTAGAGGAACAACACAAATTTGACATTTTTCTTCATGTTTTGATTTGGAATAGAATGTGTAGTGTTCCCAATGCATTTGTGTGTATGGAAATAAAATGCTAATAGAAGGATTTTGAGCTTTATTCACTTTTTTCAACACACTGCTATTATTTTGAACACAAGTGTGTGTGTGTGTGTGTGTGTGTGTGTGTGTGTGTGTGTGTGTGTGTGTATATATATATATATATATATATATATACACACACACACACACACACACACACACACACACACACACATATACACACACACACATACATATATACATACATACATACACACACAATATATGTATAGTACAACAAATTTGCCGTACGCCACTAAAGTGTTCGGGTTTGGCTTGAAGAAAAGGTGGCAACCCTACCCAGGACGACAGAAAGGGGGCCCGCTGCAGAACATGTGGAATGGTGTTGCTGTGGGACCATAATAGAGGGAACAAAACTGGAGTAAAGGGCTCTGGGCTCAGAGTGAAGGGTGGGTCAGGGGAGTCCTTCATGGTTTCTTGCACCAGGGCCCTGAAGGTTCTAGTTACGCCTCTATGTTAAAGTGATATTAAACCCTCAGTATTAAGCACTTTCAGCATTTGAGTTATTCACTTACTAAGTATGTAGCTTTATTTATCTTTTAATCCTTGCCTATGTTCCCATTAAAGCTGGCACCTTGACCGCTGCCCCAGGTTGCCTGTTGGTGGTTCCTATCTCAGGAAGTATGTGTCTCCCTACACTGTGTGCATCAATAGAAACACACAGGGTAGCCTAGGATGGCAAAACACTCCCCTGCTCCTCCCCCAACCTCATTCCTTCCTTCTCCAAACGAACAAACAGACTCCAGACTGCACTGTCCACTGTGAACTCTTTTCGGGGAAGACTGGAAGTACTAGAAACACTTATTTTTATTGGTTTCTTTGGTTAATTTTTGTGTTAGAATAGCATATTAAGTATTGCCTCAGCTCACACTTATTGAGTTCATATATTTTGACTTTTAGGGCAGGGTGACATTTTATATGATTTTTGGTAATTTTTTATTACATTTGTTACTTTAAAAAGGGAATATAACGGCAGAAAGAAAAGGGAATATAATGGCAGAAAAAAACACATGGGTTTAACCAATTATTTTTCATGCAACTGAGGTTGTGGCAGGGGTGTGTCTTTTGCCTACGCACTGCATGCCAAAAAGGTGTGCCTCGTTCTCATCTCAGAGTAAAGAGAGAGATGCTACCCTGCATTCCCTACCTATGCCAATTGGTAATCTTGGAGCAATAATTTTAGGATTCTTCTTGCTGCATATCCTAAACTCTGGCTATGGCTGCATGATGGGAGTCATGTGTTGTTTTTCTTGGAAATAATCAACCAATCAGTGGCTCAGCCTGAACATCATTCCTGAATTAGGACAGTGGACATGTGAACCTCTCCCCACCAGCTGTCATTAGAGCTGGGGATAAAGCCTGGAGTGATCACTATGCATGGTGCGTTTCCAGTAAAGTCCCTACAAGTCATCAATGTTTTTAGAACCTTCATGGCTCTATGTATATAGAAAAGGAGGCCACTATATACAGTGTTTCCAGCACTGTCCACTCAGTCTTCTGCAGCCCTATCAGCAAGCATTAGAATCCATGCGGAATATTGTGCAGAATCCTCATTAAACCAGACTTTTGGGCAAGAATGCCCAAAAGCACTGAAAAAATATTAATGAATCTGGCTTCATGGATTATGTAAGCAGATAAGAGCTAACTTCTCAGGATTAGCTGTAGCACATGTGCCTCTCTCAAACAGCATTAGCAGTTCACCAATATGATCAAAATATAAAACATTGGTGTTACCCTTTAAATCATTTAGTGAAAAGTAAAAGTTCCTTGTCCAATCCCCTTCAACAGGATCACAAACCTTTCCCTCCTTCCTAGATTGTCCATTCACCCCAAGGGTCAAACTTTTCTATTATTTAATACAGATAAAAACTTGGGGAAAAAAATTACTCTGATATCACCCAAAGTTTTAAAGATATGTCCTACAGGATGTTGTAGTCTCCTAAACAGAACACTTGGCTTGGGACATTGACCTACCTTGAGCCGTTACAGCAGATATTTTCCTGAACTAACCCAACCAACATAAAGTCCATGTTATATAATATACCTTCCTACAAAATGTTACATAATTTAGAAAGCAACAATACAGTAGTTTATACTATATGTTTATGGTAGATGAGGCAGCTAAAAAAATCCATTGGTCTTACCCCACAAGGCCATGAAGACTGAGAAGAAGACAGTGGCTGGTTGTCGAAGAGATGGCTGGCTCGAGCTGTAGCGCAGGCAGAGCTGATCTTCCAGTAGTTACATGTCTTGTCACATAGGGGGCACATGGTGATGTTATTTCGTTGGTCACACATTTCTATGCTGGGATAATGAAGATGGAAAAGTCAGAACAAACACAGTTTACACAAAAGGATTAAGGATCTCAGTCAGGTTCAATTTAGAATATAATAATTATAAACAAATGACTGTCAGATGTAAAGAAACTTCCATACACCGCTAGGACTCATACATACTCATCTCTAAGTTGTACTTAACTGCACAACCTTGTCAGTTCTGTACAGTGTACTGAATGAGTTTGTTATCTGTCAGACAAGTCTGGTCTCTGCTTGTCATAATGGAAAATAAGTTTCCTATTGGAATTATTGAGGGGTGCTTAAAGCCATGTCTCCAGTTGGGTATGCAGTCTCTGATGGGTTTATTTTTTATGAATGGGCATTTCAGCACAGGATACTTTCTCCTGTTATCCTTCTGTCATCGGCTTGGTTAAAATAGAACTAAAGTAAATAATTTAATTCTGGATAGAATAAGGGAAGGTTTTAGCTCCTGCCAGTTTTTTTTCCCATCTGTATCCCACTAGTGAGATTCCTGTCCCATAGCTGAAACAGGAAGTGAAAGAAAATCTATTTGATACAGCGAAATCTCTAGAACTAGTGTGCCCATTTGGAAATTTCTCCCATATTCTTGTTCTGGTGACAACCCAAATGTGGGAGTTTTTGCTCACTTTCACTCTTGGTGATAATGGTAAACAGGACAAATGGAGAGGGTGACTCTCCCTAATGGGGACACAGACAGAAATACAAACCAATCCATAATGAAAAGAAAAAAAGAAAAGTTATGCCTTTAGTTATATTTTAAGAACCAATCATAATGGACTTTTAATTCCTCTTGGCTTCCCTTAAATTGTGAAAGTTTAGCTTTAGTTAGATACACAAATTACATGCATATATGGGAGCTGTTTTATCTGCTAACGGATTTATTTTTTTTCATCCAGTCTCATGAGCACAGGTTGGTCAGTGACCTCCTATGTCATATCACTGCAATTAAGTAATGCAGATTGGTCACTGACCCACCCACAGAACTGCTGCCTGTACAGTGAATGCACATCGGCATCTGATTTTTGCTGTACAGGGGAATTACAGGAGGCTAACAGATTAAGGCAGGTGCTAATAAAAAAAACAAGCCACTCTCAAAACTACATTAAATAGTTTTCTGAGATTTTTTTAAAATAAAACATAACTGGTTTAAAATAGGAATCTTTTACTGTCTTGGAGTTTAAGCTAGCTAAAGATGGGTCAAAGTTAGTATCCAAAAATGTTTTCATTTCATGAGATTCAGCAAGAATTTGATGAAATTCAAGCTGAGGTTGGCCTGTGCTTGACAATAGTCAATTTAAAAATCAACCAAACTGAGTGGAAAACTACCATTTCAACAGTCGCAGCACCCTATTAGATTCAGTCACTGTTTGGTAACACCACTGAGTACCATAGCTGGCAGTGGAGATTCCTCCATCCACACTGCTTAGCATGGATTGGGGAACTGATAGATTTCTCCTGTTAAGCCTGTGAAGCAAGAGAAATAAGACATTTAGGGCAAGCAGCCTTAAACGTTTAGTGCATGGATTTAGTTGTATGTATGTATGCTTTTATTATTATATTAATAATATGCCATAATTTAGGTATGTTGTTGGTAACAGAAAGAAAGGTTTATGAAGACAACTAAGACATCTTATTTAATCCAAACCTAATGCCTCATCCAACCTCCCGCATTTATTTCTGATTGTGATATACAGTATTGATCTAGACTTATTTTCTACACAAGTTGCTAGATATACTAGCATTATCATTAGAGATGAGTGAATTATTCAAAAATTCGGTTCGGCTGATTCGCCGAATAAATTCGCTTCGAGCCGAATATATTCGCTGCGAATTTAACTTATAAAAAGGGTGTTTCTAGGCTTCAGAGAGCCTTTATATTAGTGCAGAACACTGTACCTTTAATTTAAATGCCCTTGGAGTCTGCTGGGGAAGAGAAATAATACTGTCAGTCAGTATGACATGCAGATGAGTGCCGTCGATCTTAGAATCACCGCACACTTCACTCATTTGGGCAGTCACGGGGCCAAAACCAGAGTGTGGAGCCACAGTGTGGCGGTGGAGGCAGCAGCAATGGGAGGCCATACAGCACCCTATGACAAATCGAACCCACCAGCAGTGTGAGGAGACCTGAAAGTGGCACATGGCAGAGTGTGGCGATGGAGACAGCAGCAATGGGAGGCCGTACAGGGACCCATGACACACTCTGGACCTGGCAGCAGCATGAGGAGGCGGTACAGGGGCCCATGACAGATTACGGGCCTGGCAGCAGCATGAGGAGTCGGTACGGGGGCCCATGGCAGATTACGGGCCTGGCAGCAGCATGAGGAGACGGTACAGGGGCCCATGGCAGAGTGCAGAGCGTAAGCAGCTAAAATTGAAGGCCATACAGAGGCCTATGTTAAAAAGTCCCCCCAGCAGCAGCGTGGGGAGAGACGACTATCAAGAGTCCAATGGCAGAGTGGCGGAGCAGAAGCAGCTTCAATTGAAGGCCATACACAGGCCTAGGTTAAAAAGTCCCCCCAGCAGCAGTGTGGGGAGACGACTATCAAGAGTCCAATGGCTGAGTGGCGATCCGGGGAAGTCAGCGTTGTGATTGCAGATGCAATGCAGAAATTTTTTATGAGGTAATGCCGTGGGTGCGAAGAAGATCATATACCGTCGTACTTCCATTCATAAGACGGAACAACCTGCGAACCGGGAGCTTTATTGCCCTGACCCGCTGAGCAGCTTCTGGGATACCCAAGAGTTTGGCTTCTGTGGGGAATATGGTTGAAAACTGAAACTTAAAGGCATGTTGACGGAAGGGCACCAGTGTCAGTGCTCCGGAGGGAATATAGCTTCAAAGCTGACACTTAAAGGTATATCGACGGTCAGAGACCACAGGAAGTGGAGCTTGCGTCTTAAATCGACTGAATGTGGCAGACGTGAAACGTCTACGGGCCGTATATGAAACGGGTTGTTCCTCTTTCTGGAATAAGTGTTGGAAATGGCCACTCTTTTTGGTGTGGCGTTTTGTCTATTTAATTCCGATAACGGACTCTACTCCTCCGTGCAATCTAGTTACGAGACCCTGGGCAGGTCTGGGTCCAATTTGTGGTAGAGACTGGTTTTGTTCAGCCATGCTTGAGCGAGTAATAACAGGTCTGTGCTGCCCTTTGGTGTCTGGCTTAATGCGCACAACACTGAACGTCCCAGCATTTGTCAACGAGTTGCCGTTAAGTGATGCAAACCCGCTGAACCATGTTCATGAGGAGCCGGTACAGGGGGCCATGAATCAGTATGGACCTGGCAGCAGTGTGAGGAGACCCGAAAGTGGCACATGGCGCAGGGTGGCGGTGGAGGCAGCAGTATTCGGAAGCCATACACAGGCCTAGGTTAAAAAGCGGAAGCCGTCAGCAGCGTGAGCAGACGACAGAGGCACATGGCGCAGGGTGGCGGTGGAGGCAGCAGTATTCGGAAGCCATACACAGGCCTAGGTTTAAAACTGGAACCCAGCAGCGTGAGCAGACGACAAAGACGCACATGGCAGAGGATGGATCTGGCAGCAGTATGAGAAGGCGGTACAGGGGCCCGTGGCACAGTGTGGTGATGGGGGCTACAGCAACTGGATGCCAGAAAGTGGCCGATAGAGCTATATACTGCATGGAATTATAAAGTTGTAAAGACAGCGGCCTATAAGGCTATACACACTATAACAATCATGACTTGATTGACCATTGGCCTATAAGGCTATACACAGCATGAATATCATGACTTATTCTGAGAGTGGTTTGGAAGGCTATATACAAAAAGTAATTCATGAGCTGTCCGGACAGCGGACAATAAGTACATATATACAAATCAATTCATCAGCTGTCCAGCCAGCGGCCTCAAAGGCGACACATATAGAAAGCAATTCATGAGCTGTTCAGACAGCGGCCTCTAAGGCGACAGATATACAAAGCAATTCCCGAGGTGTTCAGGGAGCGGCCTGAACGGCTAGGTTATTACTAATATATTTTTGTGGCCAAACATCGGCCTATAAATAGATGTCTACACAGTGACAAAAAATTATGTCGCCAGACAGCAGCCCCTAAGGCGACAGATATACAAAGCAATTCCTGAGGTGTTCAGTGAGCGGCTTGAACGGCTAGGTTATTACTAAATATATCTTTCTGGCCAAACATCGGCCTATAAATAGATGTCTACACAGTGACAAAAAAGTAGGTCGCCTTACAGCGGCGTATCCTACAAATTGACATTATAAGAAATGGTTTAGACCAAAAAAAAAAAAACTTTGATGCGATGCTATACCTTAGTAGATTGTGGAAAGTCGACAAGTCAAGCGTAACTGTGTACATTACAGAAAATCTTAACAAGACAACCAAACATGTGGCCAAACCGTGACCGATACAACAAGTTAACAATGTAAGAAACAGGAGGGGGGCCAAACCGTGGCCAATAAATAAACAGTCCACCTCATTGATGAGATGGACAACACGTGTCAAATAAATATTTTTAAAAAATTGCTATTCCATCGGTCTGGAACTGGTCGACTATAAATAATTAAAAAAAGTTTAAATTCATGTGACAGTCGTCCAGCGACGTATAAATAATTTAAAAACACCAATTCATGAGGGGCCCGACCAGCAGAGTATAAGTCATTAAAAAGGTTCAATTCATGTGACGGTCGTCCAGCGAAGTATAAATAATTTAAAAACCCCAATTCATGAGGGGCCCGACCTGCAGAGTATAAGTCATTAAAAATGTGCAAAACATGAGTCGGCCGACCAGCAGCCTCTCAATAAAATATATATACAAATGTACGGATCAGGTGGAGGTCTTCCATTTGTCCCTAAT